GACAGGCTTGGTGTATTGGGTTTACGTAGCGTCCTATCAGAAGACAGGCTTGGTGTATTGGTTTTACGTAGTGTCCTATCAGAAGACAGGCTTGGTTTAGTGTTGGGTTAAGTGTCCTATCAGAAGACAGGTATGCATGATGATCGCATCTATTAGGACAATAGTGGTAAAAACACATGTTTATATCCCCCTCATGGAAGCGCCATTACCTATTTGTTACACTTACATAAGTCTGTACATTACACCATTGTATCCATCAGTATTCTGTGTGTAATAGACATGGAATGTAATATTGTTGAGAAGCTGTGTTTGTTACTATACAAACCAAATATTTGCGGAATCCTTTGTCTCGCTGAATGTGCAGTGAAAAAAAATCGGCCATCAACATCAAGTTAACTATGTTTTTTGCTGCAGTGGGGTATCAGTAATACAGAAAAATCCCTGCAATTCATCATGTATAGTTACAGTCAGTGATTGATACACACCGTGTTGTCAGATATCTCAGGAGTACAATTTGTTTATCAGTAAAAACAGTTATACAACCTGACTACATGTTTTAAAATGTAGTGCTTTTGCTAAAAGGGAGATAACTGTTATACAACACTTGGGTATAATATAAAATGTAGCATATACCCTTAAATAGAATGAAATTCATTTAGTTTACGAGAGAAATGTCTTTTGGTATATTCATACTACAGGTATGCAGAGCAATTGTCATGACTGGAAGTATGGTAACACTCAACACTCTTAAAAAGGACACACAGACAGACAGACAGGATCGCCATGGAGACACAGGCCCAAGATGAGGTTGGAGGTCCTAGATCAACCCCCCATTAGTTTGATTTAAATGAGGCTTCTGTCAGTTTCCTTATGTCTTCTGAATAACATGTTTAGTCAGAATAAATGACACAATGCCATAAATGTCAAATACCAAGAACACACTTTTTTTTTATCCCACCTACAGAGCTTCGGAAAATACACAGTCAGAATAGATAAACCGACAGTAAAATTGAAAATTTGAAAGGCTAGAAAATTACTTTGACCCACATGTGTTTTTTTTATTTTACTTCAGTCTCATCTTTTTCACCAATACACCAAATTCTTTTATGACCAAATTCCTGTCTGAAGTCTTGAATTGATACAGCCATTCCTTTGGGGGTTTTTCAGCTAAATTTCTTTTTTTTTAAATTCTTTATACCAGTGGTAATTAAAAGCTCAAATAAAAATTTGTTTCATTTCAACATTAAATATTCTGCTACATACTGACATCACATCATTAACCGGTTGCAGGTATAAAAAGTGTGAATTTGTAGATCAACGTTTCCACTCTTTGATGTTAAAAAGGGAGAAGGAAATTATTTTTTTCATTTATATCCATTGCTTAAGAATCTTTTTTGCGATCAAAAATATCCAATTTTGATGTCATATTTTTCATTCCAGTTATAACAGCCTCAGGCTGGTGGCTAAAATCAATACTTTTAAATCTATTTCATATTAAATTTCATCTCTGTTTTATCTTCGCCAGCTTTGAAAGCATTCCAAACATATCTTAAATTTAAATTAGCTTTTTACAGATATTTCTATATATGTTTTAATTTTCCAGCTGAACTCTTCAGTTTTGAGTCCACATAATCAACATTTCATCTGGCAATATAAATTTTTCATACAATATTTTTCAGTTTTAAACTTCCTCTCTTAGTCGTTTTAAATGTAATGCTGATATCATTGTGAGGTTTAGCTGATCAGGATTACATATTAATCGGACTTAAAACACAAAAATAAAATTCATATTTTTATCAATTGTTTCATTGTTTTGTCTTCAAATTATAGAATTTTGTTCATAGATATGTAATGTACCTTAAAATAACCAGTGCATGTGAATCACTTTCTCTTCAAAAGGAGTTTAACTCATTCACCCCTGAAGACGCATTTGAACTCTTCCAATTCAAAAGGTTGGAATAGTTCATTATGAAATGTATGGGGTCAATGAGTTAATGGAAGTGTTTGTCATGATTTTCTCCAGACATAGGATTTACCTTTCTGAAGCTTCAACAGATGATGTATTTAATTTCGACGTGAAAATGCTTTCTCTCACCATAAACCAACAGCCCTGGATAAACATGTCATCTTGCTCAAATGGGGGTAATAAACATGTTTGAAGCTTTTTTATATGTTGATAAAGAGGTCATGGCCGTTTATATACACTTTGACTACAGAAGAAATATGTAATATTATATGTATATGCCTTGTTACAAACTTTCGTTAGTATGATGTCACAGTTTTCTGCAATACTACATGGCAGTGTATGCTGTTACCAACACAATCTTAATATCTCGGATATAAATCTTACAATTCCATATGATCCCCGAGTTAAAATACCAGAGGTCAATTTTGGTCAATAACCCTGCAATGCCATGCTCACAAACTTGTGCTGGAAACTGCTTTTCTTCAATGTTTTGATATTTGATATCAATGTCATTGATATAAAATTCATTTCGACATGCAAACTAAAAATCAGATATCCTTCACTAACAACTCATTCATGTTTCAGCAAAAAACAAGGCTTTGTAGAGCAATATATACTTAATCCCCCAAAACATGCAGATTTGTGGTGAAACAATGACATGGTTTGATTTTTGATACTGATGTATTTGTGTTGTGTAGAATGTAATGTTCTATTTATAGGAAAGATGACCTTGTTCTATGACCTTAATTCAGACTAAAAAAAATCCCAAACAAGTATTTTCCATGAGGAAGCAGTGCATAAAGTTTGAATTGAAATCAGCCAAGAGAATTTGAGCTATTGTGAGGAAACCAACTCAGGAAAGTACTTTTCAGGAAAAACACTGTATGAACTAATGTGTCGATTAGATCCATGGGAATTGAAGTTACAATGTTGAAACAGATTTGGGATGATGAAAGATGTACAATGTATAAGGTAATTCAGATATCCTTAACCCAAACACAAATCACAGATAGCATACACCCTTAACTCTAATGGAAGCATAGACACCATCTAGCCTACTTCCTTTGCTCAATTTGCTTAGCTGCTTGTGCAATGAACACACTCTGTAGTAATATGATAGTGTTTTCTGCTTTCTTCACATTCCAAAGACATTATATAAATATGACATTCATTAGCAGGTGACAATGGGTTTTTGAGGGTTGACAATATGCACTGTCACCTCCTAATGAATGTCATATCTATTTTGTTACACCAAAAGTCTTTGTAGCTCAAAAATGGCAGGAAACCTCGATAATGACATCTTGTTTGTTTATAGTTTGCTGTTTACAATCGCTATCGCACCGGCGCTTGATAAAATTGGCTGTTGCCGTCAAACGTTCTTGTGACCATCACGGTGGGGAAACGAAGCGGTGAACGCACATTTTTCGCGCATGATATTTTTCACTGTCTCATGGCAATATCACCCGCGCCCCTTAAAACCAATGTATTTTCGGAGGGTGACAGAGATTTTTGTTTAATTTTCTCCCAACCAATCAAATGGCTGGAAATTCACTTCAGGTGTAACAATAGTAATTGAGACCTTGAAGTTTTATAGGACTACTTCTAACATATCACAAGACAAATTCTGGCTCAAAAAGGAAGCTTATACAATAATACCATGAAATGTAGCTCAAATTAAAAAGGTTACCTAAACATGATCTAATTTAATCTTCAGTACATATATATATCTACTAATTTGTCCAGCTAAAAACAATGTGTATCAGTTAGATTTGTCACGCAGTGTTTGTGACTTACCTGTGGGTAAGAATTGAGGACTCCCTGAGTTTTCATGGGCAGCACTCCTACATATATGTATCTGTAAAACACAAAACATCACATTACAGTTTATGTCAGAACAAGTCACTAACAGATCACTACTCATCATTATCTCTATCACAGCTTAACTCTTTCATCCCCATTTAACGTTAGTAGACTCTACCATGCATTGATCTGGATGAGTCCATTATGGTCTACAGTGAGTGGTGAAAGGGTTAAGCTTAAAGGATACTCTGCAAATTGCAGAGAATTCCACTTCAAACCTATGGGTTTTTTTCCAGACTTTGACCTCTATCTGAATCAGGTCATAAACCTTTTAAGGTTTACCCCTGACATCTATCTTCATTAAGTTTTACCCATGAATTGTCTCACAATTTGGTCACCCTATTAAAGTTTGACCATGATCTCTGCAGTCATTACTACACTCACTGGGTCAGTTCATCAGTTCACCTGTGTAATATTGGTCATTACAAGGTCAAGTAATCAAGGTTAAAGGTCATTTAAACAAGAGGCCCAAGGGCCTTAGCGGTCACCTGAGTTATATCATAGATACTGGTAGCTTTATTTTATTGTTTAGATGTGATGTGGAAATCAGCATGTAAACTAAGTGAAATACAATACTTGTCATGTCATCAATGGATAAGAATTTGAAAATATTGGTAAATGTTCCCTTTGGGGCCCCGCCCTAGCCCCTGGGGATGGGGCAGGAATCCTAATTTTACAAAGTAAAACTCTCATTTACCCAAGATGATTCTGACTAAGTTTGAGCAATTTTCTGCTGAAAATAGATAAAATATATACCGAAAAGTGTTATTTCCCTATATAAACTATATTAAACGTTAACCCCTCCCCAAGGGAGAACGGATAGCTCGGGGTCCTGATATTTTCAATTTAAATAAAGCCCCTGATGATCTTTCTTTCCACGTAAAGAAAATCACTGTAGTACCTCTGAGTCTGGAGAAGAAGATTTTTGAAATATTGATTAATTTTCCCTTTGGGGCCCCGCCCTGGCCCCAGGGGTCGGGGTAGGAATCTCAATTTTACAATTTGAAACCATCTACCTCCAAGGATAATTCTCACCAAGTAAAAATAATTTCCTACAGAAAGTTGTCAAAATATACCCAAAAGTGTTATTTCCCTATATAAACTATAGTAAACTTTACCCCCTCCCCAAGGGAGAACGGATAGCTCGGGGGTCCTGAAATTTACAATTTAAGTAAAGCCCCTGATGATCTTTCTTTCCACGTAGAGAAAATCACTGTAGTACCTCTGAGTCTGGAGAAGAAGATTTTTGAAATATTGATTAATTTTCCCTTTGGGGCCCCGCCCTGGCCCCAGGGGTCGGGGTAGGAATCTCAATTTTACAATTTGAAACCATCTACCTCCAAGGATAATTCTCACCAAGTAAAAATAATTTCCTACAGAAAGTTGTCAAAATATACCCAAAAGTGTTATTTCCCTATATAAACTATAGTAAACTTTACCCCCTCCCCAAGGGAGAACGGATAGCTCGGGGGTCCTGAAATTTACAATTTAAGTAAAGCGCCTGATGATCTTTCTTTCCACGTAGAGAAAATCACTGTAGTACCTGTGAGTCTGGAGAAGAAGATTTTTGAAATATTGGATAATTTTCCCTTTGGGGCCCCGCCCTGGCCCCAGGGGTGGGGGTAGGAATCCCAATTTTACAATTTTGAAGCCTCATCTACCAAGGATGATTCTGACCAAGTTTGAAAAAAATCCATCCACTGGTTCTTGAAAAGAAGTTGAAAATGTAAAAATTTACGCACGACGCACGACGGACGACGGACGACGGACGACGGACGACGACGGACGAAAAGCGATTGGAATAGGTCACTTGAGCAAAGCTCAGGTGACCTAAAAATGCTACCTGAATGACTCAGATGATCTAGGTCTTTAATGCTACCTCAAATATTACTTCTACAAAACACATCAACTTTATACGTACGTTGATTGAGTAAAAAGCAAAATGTTTGGTCTAAAACTGTATAAAATTGACACTTGTGTACATTTGTACATATTCATCCACAGATGTACTTATCTACAAAGTTGTTATTTGGAAAATTAAAATTTGCTGAAACCAGAATGTATGGATTAATAGAAGTGGAATACAACTCAGAAGTACAACCTGACCACTATTCTTATGACAGGTATATATCAACATATATACTTAGATATCAATTCAAGATAAATGTATGCTATATTCTCTGTTTTTGTCAAGCATTCCAGTTCTGTATTTAAATGTTCCCTGATATCCCGGACAGCTTTCCATTAAATCATTTCTTAGTAAAAAGTCATTTGGCCCCATTCATTTTATAAAGTCACAATTTTTCCTCAGACTTGTGACAATTTTCTAGAATAAATGACACAGTGTGAATAGTTTATAACAGAAATTTGTTTTATTAATTAATTTCTGATGTTAATTGGGTCCAGAAATGGTGAGGCATCACAATAAACTGTGACTATTTTTGCCCAGTCATTCTGTTTTACCAGTGTCATCTGGTCATGATTTTGGCCGTAAACATCGTGGTTTCTCAGTAGCTTAAATAAACATCTCTTACAGTAATAAACATACTAATACCACTTGAATCTTGGACCAAGTCAAATTTATTTTAGGAGAATTGGACAAAAAAACATGTTATTACACAGTTTTTAGGGTTAAAACCTGTTAACAAGGTTCTGATCTTGTGACTTGGCAAACTGCTTAAAGCATCGCCCTTACTGCTTCTAATTCAATTCAATTCACATACAAACATAAACATTTAATATTAAATTTGGCGTAGACAAACGATAACTTTTCCTAAGGTTCCAAAATATACAACATTTATACATTTTTTTTAAGGAACATATAAAAATAATCATCAATATGCTCATGCATTACCCTCTTTTCATTTCTTTACAAGAAAACCGTATGTAGTTCCCAATGTATGTAATAAAATTGAAATAAATATTTTTGAAATGTCTTTAATCACCTATATGATATACATTCACCCCAGCCCATAAAATACTTGCCAAGTCACTCTATTTTAGATGAAAACTTCCATATGATTTTTAACATATTTTTGCTCACTTTTGATATCAGCATTACACAAGGGAGATAATGAATTATACAAGGGAGATAATGAATTATACAAGGGAGAAAATGAATTATTCAAGCATAGGTATGCATTATACAGGGGAGATTATGAATTATACAATGAAGATAATGAATTATAAAAGGGAGAAAATGAATTATTCAAACATTATAGGTATGCATTATACAAGGGATATAATGAATTATAATGGGGAGATTATGATGTTTTTTTCTCGTGATTCGACTGTGATATTCCTTATATTTTCACTAGTATACAGGATGTACTACAGCAATACTTTATCTTCATTACAGTTTCACAGCCATTAAGTATACAACCCCATTTCAAGTAATGTGATAACAGCTTCATAGCGAGGTCAAGCAAGTTCAAATTGAAAGATATCAACTTAAGTAGCACTACTTATCTTTGACACAGAGGTCAGAAAAAGACCTGAATCAATTCAAAATGAGAAGTACAACTTAAATGAATCAAACCTGATCTTCAATGACTTTAGGTTTAACAGAGCCGCAATACTGAATATCATTTAATGTAAAATGTCAATTTAGTGTTGGAGTTGATTCCAATGCCATCTTTTTGGAAAACGGAATTCTTGAACGAAAGTAGGATTAAGGGCCAACACTGTTTATTCCACTGGAAAACGTTCTAATCTTGATGAAATGAGTGCATCAGTTTTTCTTCTTTTTGCTGCTGGTGGAGGGGGAAAGAATAATAGAATCCATCCCTGATGTGAGGTATGGATAAGCTAAATCAAACCAAAGGGAAAAAATATTGAGGAGACACAAGGCTTTGCTGATCGAGGGTCTTTTGCTCAATCTTTTATCCAGAGGGTTTGAATTCCCTTATTCATACCTTATATCAGGGATAAATTCGATTTCTTGCTTATTACCTAAAACCCGTAAAAACAGCTGCTTTTCTAGTAAAGTTGTAAACAGTCCCCACATTTTGCATTTGCATCTGAAGCCGGTGATGGCAATTGTTAATGATATCAATGACCCTGACTGACCCCAAAACGTCATAAAATTATGTCACGAGCAATAGCACTCCTTGTGGGTCAGATAGAATTTTCCAGCACCTACAGAAATGAGAATATCTAGGTCTAGTAACCAATTGTACAGTTTTAAGGTTGGCCATCTTAGATTCTGATCAACTCAACAGAGCAATATTCCTTACATCTAATAGCATGTGAAAAGTAACAAAACTAGAACACTGACAGGTCAGTAAGGGCCCCGTCTTGTGGCAATATATCCCACATAATCATCAAGAAGCAATCTGCCCATATAACTGAGCTTGACGTTTGACATTTGGACTTCATAAAGAATCGCAAGGAGGCAAAATATACATTTTACATGTACTATGATGTGAGTCTTGTTTCCTTCCACCTCCATATTTGCTGGGCTAACAGAAATGTAAATACCGGTGCAATACTCATTTGTTAGCTTTGATTTGTTTTATTTCACCTTATATACCTCCTCCATCAAGAGCCAGGGTCAAAGTCAGAGATCCACTTTGTCTTTGACCTTTGGACCCAAATGACCTTGACCATTAACCCAGTGACCCTGATCTTTGGTCAGTTGACTTATTCTTTAATTCCGACCAACTTTGCTTCTTAATATCATAACAAAATGTTCATCAGTGAAAAATACAAAACTTGACCTTGACCCTTTGGACCCCGTAACCTGGACCTAAGGTCAGTTGACTCTGTGTTAAGTTCTGAACAGCATTGCTTCATAATGTCATAACAAAATGTTCATCAGGGAAAAGGTACAAAATTTAACCTTCACCTTTGACCCAGTGACCTTGACCTTTGGTCAATTGACTCCTTGTTTAATTCTGAGAAACATTGCTTCAAAGTGTCATAGTGAAATGTTCACCAGTGAAAATATACAAAATATAACCTTGACCTTTGCCCCAATGACCTTGACCTTTGGTC